CCGTCGGCGCAGAACTTCTCCTGAGTTAGGCTTAGAATCACTGAATCCTTGTCGCGACGGGACGTCACCTTTGGATCAATTGATGGTTTAGTCAATCAATAGACCGCTTATCGGATCCAATACTCACTGATATAACTGGATATCCCTTCTGCAGAGTCCAAGTGCTCATCACATCTCTGACCGGTTTATTACTCGACTCCTGGAGAGCAGTCCAGAGGTCTTCAGTCTTCGCACTCTTATAGCTATGAAGAGAGAGATAGGAATGCATTCCTTTGCGGAATAACTGATCCAAAGAGACATCAATTAGATAATGGATGAGACAAATGGTGGCAAACAATGACTGAAAGCAATACCTCGTCGCCAATAAACCGGTGAAGCATTCGTATGACAGCCGACCCCTTGTTATACNAGCCGACCCCTTGTTATACGAGATCTCATCGAATATCTCATTCACTTCGGAGGGATGACCTATTGGTACTTCGATGGGATGGGAGTTGTGGAGAGCATCCAACTGGAGGGCCGGTAGGAAAGTTTGGGAAACATATTGCATCCAAATCTGGTATTCGGGGAACAGTTGGTCGACACACAGGTATTCCATGAATTTAGCGAATCCTTCGTTTAGCCACAGATCTGATCGAAACATAAAATCATAAATGAATTGATAATTCAAACAAAATGATGGCTACTAACGGGTCCACCACTCCATTGTGACCAGATTTCCGAACCATTGGTGGGACACCTCGTGAGCCACTGTTAAGGCAGTACTTTGTTTGTTCATTGACGACGAGTTCTTAGGATCCATAAGAAGTGCGGTCTCCCTATAGGTAACTAACCCCCAGTTCTCCATCGCCCAGAATGCGAAGTCAGACAACGCTATTAAATCCATTTTAGGCAACGGATAGCTAATCCCGAAGTAGTCGTTGTAATAGTTGATCGCTTTGGCCGTCACTTCCAGAGCGAACTCTCCCTGCGATGCCTTCCCTACCGGTGCGTACACTCTAACCCTCACCCCATCAGTGGTCGCACTCTCGACGAAATCAAACTCTCCGACAATGAATGCCAACAAATATGTGGACATCATAGAGCGAACACTCCCTGCGATGCCTTCCCTACCGGTGCGTACACTCTAACCCTCACCCCATCAGTGGTCGCACTCTCGACGAAATCAAACTCTCCGACAATGAATGCCAACAAATATGTGGACATCAATGGTGTCGTCGAGTACTTCACGCGCTTAACACTCGGATCGTCTTCGAGGACCTCCTCTGAGACGACATCAGTGTTGGAAAGAGTCGTCCGATCGGTGGGAACCTCAAGAGTGACGGCAAACGTGGCTTTGATGGCCGGTTCGTCCCAACCCGGAAAGGCTCGGCGCGCGTCTGTGGCCGCGAACTGAGTGACCGCTGCATACCTTTCCTCCCGTCCCTCACG